TATATGATGATGATGATTTATATATGACGTCAGGTCACATTTGTAAAGGCCGTGGACACGAGAGATTAATGGTAGACATGGAAATAAATCCCTCATTAATTTCTGCGCTATGACCTTTGTGTAAATTTTATGTGGTAAATTTAAATGGGGCGCAACATCATGCATAAATTATCATCCATATGTAATCTCTATATGTAAAAATATTACATTATTTATTTGCAATGTAAAAGCTGCACAGCACTCTTCAGTTATCCGTAGACTTTCCTCTTAACTTTTCCCATGATTTCCTCGTGTTTATTTTACGGCTTAATTTTGGTTAATTTCTGGCGCGCATATTTTTACTTCCGAAGAAACAGGAGCTTCGACAAGTGGAACCGAATGAATCTATTTCTTTTCCTTCCTTCCTTCTTTTCCTTTCCGGTCACGTGTGTCCTTCACGAGAGAAAAAAATTTTGTCGTCGCGCACCACCGGAAATATACACGCAGTTCGTCCGAATGTACACCTATTGTATTATTGCTATTTTTAGCGCGGTAGATTAACTTACGATCTAAAATTTGTACATCTGTAGATTTACTGTTCACATACGATGATGCCCACAAAAGAGAGAGAAGCAGAGTGTCTCAGACACGCCTGATTTGAGAATTAAGGGGAAAGGGATACCGTCTCCTCGTTGGAGAAAATTTACATTTGTAAGGATTTCATCGCGTTTTACAGCGTAAATCGTAATATAATTGTAAATCTCGACGCGTGTGTTACAAATCAGGCCTCGGCAGAAAATGCAACTTTCGGCCAAATTTCGGGATATACGGTCTACTTTCCCTGCCGCCCAAGCGTGTAACTGAGGCTCGCGAAGCTCTGCATCAGGAGCGGCCAAATCATGATCATAAATCGAGATAGGATCCTCTATCGCAACTACGATGTGTATGAAGTGATACGATTGCGCGAAAAAGTTACATATACAGGGTAGACCTTTTTATTCAATATATCTCGAAAAGGAGAAGTTTTTTTTTTTCAAATAATGTTTCAGACAAAGGGGAAAATGGCGCCATCTACAATCAAAGTCAATCATGCCGCGGGCGTACATTCCGAAATTTGGCTGAAAGTTGCACTTCTTGCCGAAGCTCGTTATATAAATATCTATCAGATGGGGAAACCCATAAGTGTCTTCCCAACTGCTTCTTCGTTTGAAGTTCGAAATAACTTCTTCCTTCTCTTTTTTTCTCCTTTTTTTTTTATGTCGCTATGCGTTCTAACTTTAATTGAGCCTCCGGTTGCAATGTACATCGTAATTCGTAAAATCGCACGCGCACACAGGTTAAAAAAAAACAGGTAAAAGCAATTGAATTGGTGAAAGAACAATGATGAACACCCGATACGACGCAAAATCATGACGCTTTCATTCAGATGACGAGATCCATGCATTGAACTATAATAATATTAGAGAATATTATTTTTTTCATGTAATCTTTATGTAAAAAACTTGCACATTTGAGAGAGAGAGAGAGAGAGAGAGAGAGAGAGAGAGAGGGGTTGGAGGGGGAAGAAAGGAGGGAAAGAGGGGGATAGTGCAAGATTGCGATCTCTTTTTTTCACAAATTCACAGCCGACATTTTGTACAGTTGTCACATCGAATGTATTAGGTGTACCCATAAGTAGTGTCATTTTTTTTTCAGATCGAACAAACATTACCACCGTGCTCGTGGATGTGATTTATTATTACACATACAACTTATATACTAATTAAATTTATTGACATTTAGTGTGTTTATTGTGAAATTTTGAAAGAGCTAAATGTTAAATAGTATAAAATTTTGTATAAAGTATCCAAAAGAGCGGTGTTACTTATGGGTACCCCTAATATATAAGCAATGTTATCAGATTGATAGAGATCAGCCTTCCCCGTTGAATCGTTCCAGTAAGCTCTACAGGTAGAACACGAGTTTCACCCTTTCGCTATTATGAGTTACAATATTCAGCTACAATACAATGCTTAGCTTCTTATTAAACGATCGTTTGGGACGAAATATAGTGACTTCTTTTTGTATCTTACATTGAGGGTCACTTGCACGAATTAAGCTCCGATTAATTCAATCTTCTATTAACCCTTTGCACTCGAGGGCTCCGGAGCGGAGCCATTTAAAATTTGTCTTCAAACTCTTCAAACTCAAATGCAAATAGCAAGAGCAGAATATCCTATACACAATAGTTTTTACGATTTGTCTTTGTCCTTATGTTATGAACTGAAAGTTATTTGCATTGTCTCCATAGCGGAGCCCTCGAGTTTGAAGACAAATTTTAAATGGCTCCACTCCGGAGCCCTCGAGTGCAAAGGGTTAACTCAGCCAATAAAGTTGCCAATATGGCAAATACAACGCAGTTCGTCGTTAGAAGGAGAGGAAAAGTTGCCTCGTGTCCTTTTTCTATAACCTCCTATATTTGGAATATCAGACTATATTTGACTTTGATTCTCAGCGCTACGCGTATACCGGTAGAGCTTCGTGTGGTGAAACAACAGGGTTGGCTGATACGGTAGACATGGACTAACATTAAGGCTCCTGGACACTCGCTGCGGCTATCCTTTTTTGATGTCATCGGAAGAGGATGGCCAAAGTAAGTGTCCGGGAGTAGCCTTGATTCGCGGCAATTTAGAATGATCGGCCCTTTTTGGGAAAGCAAAAGTCTCGCCCACTTTTTTTTTACATGAATTCCAAGCCCTTAATGACTAGTAACGAGACTCGGTTGAAATGAAAGATCGTCGTTAGAGGATCAAAATACCTCGTAGACGCGATCCCCACGACATGAAAACTGCTCGGAGACACACCACTCTTTGAAGCATCGCGGAGAAATAAATAATAAATGCAATTTTTCATTAAATTTCTCGGCGTATAAGGAACCTCTCCGTCATGAACGACGGATAACATAAATTATTTGGAAATACTCAAAGTATCATTTTCCTATCGGTAAGCAATCTATTACCAGTCGTGGGCGGCCAAAAATGGGCAGAAAGTTCTTCATGTGTTAGATTGTACATGAGAGAAAGAAGGATTTCACTGAGACCTTCTTTCTCTCACTCGTCACTTTTGGAATTTTAATGTGCACTCTAGTATTATTATAGTTCAGAGGATCTGCGATAAAATCTCCACCAAATGCAGATGCACACAGAATATAACAGCCTTGCGTGCATCATTGATACATATATATATATATATATATATATATATATATATATATATATGTGTGTATATATATATATATATGACAGTTTCTTCGGGATTGTATGAAAAGATATGGAGAATATGAACGTGTATGTATATATATATGTATATACACATACACGCGCGCACACACACCCATATATATTTACATATATGTATCCATGTACGTGTATTTGACATATATCTACATATATATACACGTACACAAATCGAGGGTGCGTGTGTGTGTGTGTGTGTAAATTGTTGAACCGCGATCGATGTCGTCGAAGAGACGCGAGATTTGTCGCGAGTAAGAAAAAACGATTGCCGGGCGCAAACAACGGCGATAGAAAATGTACACACATCAGTCAGTCAATGTTCCGCGAAGAAGCGCAGCGTTAGGTCTCTCTCTCTATAGTATGATGTTCGCGACACCGGTACTGGTGGGTTGCTCCTTGGAGATGCTCTCTTCTACGCATGTGGCAGTGAGTTTCGTACGCGCGAACACGTTCGTAAGATTTATGGTCGCCACGCCGAGTTTCTATCTACCTTCAGCTGGGCTTGCTCGACGGCCCGTGACTGGTCGGCGATGGCCCGTGCGAATGGAGATTGTGAACGCTGCCGACTTGATTGCCGGTCAGACTCGGCATGGTAGGCTGATACATCGCCGGCATGTAACTGCTCGACGACTGCGCCGCCGATCTGAAAGAGAGAGATAAACGATAAATACAAATATATACGTAACTGTAGTACGTTCTTTTTCTCTCAAATGTATTGCAACACCAATTGTTTCGTATTATATAAATAAAGTCGAGAGAGCCTAGTGTAGAAATACGAACGAAACGAAGAGATGCCAACCTCGGTACTCCGCGCAATGGGTCCGGCGTGACAGACGAGTTCCGCACCACGCCGGAAGTGTTCGCCGGCGCCGGCGACACTATATTGCTTGGCTGACCTTGAAGGTACCCACCAGCGGCTGGACTGTGCCTGTTTCGTCGAGAATGAAGAGGCAAGTTATCGGTCCGTTCTGTGCAGCTGCACTGCCGAACCAGTGCAACGAGTCGAAGCGAGACAAGTGTATGTTCTCTCACTTCAACTTGTTGCACCAGTTCTGCAATGCAGCTATAAAGAACGGGCCATACACGTGGGTTTGATAAAAATACTCCATTATATATCGACATATCTTTCCCCCGCATGTCCTTACCTTATTGTGGGACTCGGTTGGGGGGCAACCAGAGATCCTCGGTGTTGATACTGCGACAGCGAGGCCGCCGCTGGCGGAGAGGGATCCGGCGGTAGGCCGTTTTCCAATGTCGTCGGATGACCGGCCGAACTGGAGTGCGGCATGTACGTGTTGTTGACTCGCGCCTCGCGATTCACCCTCGGCACCGGGGCCGGCGCGCCGGGCGGCACCTCCGAATGCGAGACGTTCGGGTGAGACGGGTTCACCGTCGGATGTATGTTATTCACTGGGAAATCATTCGGAGATTGGCACGCTTTAAGCTAGGGAGATTTCCTCGGGTGGTCTGAGATGCGAGATATATTTCTTGGCGGCGAAACCCTCGTCTTTTCAAGGTTTCACCTCAAGTTGCACAGAAATGCAGAGCAACCTTGTGATGTACCATAGTCAAGTAATTGTAGATTGTTATCGTTTGTTATGTGCAACGCCAAGTAGTTAATTGAACTAACCTGGATGTGAACTAGGCTGGGTCGTCAATGGTATAGCGAGTCTAGCATTCACAGCCAACAAGTGGTCTCTCCTCTGCAGGAGATTATTTACATGTTCCTCTAGCCTAAGATTCTCGGCTCTCAACTGGTGTAGACAGGAAAGCAAAGACGCGACTGCAACAATAGATTTCGCTCGCTCAAGTTTGTACCAAGCGACACGGGACATTCATCGTCACTCTATATCAGAGGCATAAGCAATGTTAGGGAAGAACTGAGCTTTTACTTTCTCAAATTTTTCGAGTGAAATCTCACTCGAGGAAGAAAGTGACCACGGAGTCACTTCGAGCGAAGATACCGCCATTTTCTTATTTGTCTTGAGTGAGATGTCGCTCTGAGAAACCGAAGGAAAGTATCAAGTAACCAAAATACACAAACGTAACGTAAAACATGCTAATCCTCCTGGAAAATATGACTAACACAATGAGAAAGGAATTTATTATGATGCAACTTCTTCAGACAGAAAAGAAAAAAAGAAAAATAGAAATACGTAGTCGATAGAAAAAAGGAAAAAAAAAAAAGAACGTAGAGCGAACAAATTCGTCAGTCAAACCCATGCGATTGTAAGCACTGATATTTCCTCGTCGTACACTCACTATCAAAATGCTGGGCTTGTTCCATTAAGAATTGACTGCCCTGTTCCCACTGTCGCTCCAGAAGCTGATCCAGCGATTGCGGGATCGCACCGCCACCCAAAGTGCCGCTGGTACCGGCCGTGGTGTTAGCGTTTGCGTTATTGCCATTCGCGGTGAAGACCGAGGAGAACGAGGTAGGTGGTGCGCTCGACTGGCTGGACCGTATCTGCTTTGCGTGAGAAAGTTTCCGATTCGTTAATGGCGGATTCATAAAGCGGGCGATCTACGATGAGAATTTCAGCTCTGAGAAATCCTTAAGAAATTCACTCGATCACAGTCGAATGTGAGAAGAATGATCGACCTGTGATCGGCTAATTTCTCAAGGTTTCGAGCTTAAAGCAGATCTAATGTAGGCCGAGACTAAAGCGAGGTCTACAGTGAGAATTCAAGGCGCAAGGCTTGAGAAATTGACCAAACACGGTCGGATTATAGGAGAAAAATCAATTACGATCGGTCGATTTCTAAAATCTCACGCCTTGAATTCTCATTGTGAAGCCCGCTTAATGGGCTGCGATTAACGACCGTTTATATATTCGTCTGATAGTCGAAAACGAGCGTCCCGGTACATCCCGATCCATCGGGTGGTACGTACAGATGCGATCACTCGACTGTGCAGCTGCGGCCCGACCAGGTTCGTATTGGAGTTGCTCGCCTCCGTGAAGATCGAGTGAGCCTCGAGTTCCTGCGAGAGTGTGTCCGACATCTTCTGCGCCATCGTCGACGTCGGATTCAACTGATTCCCCAGCATGTGCGGCGCGCTCACTCCGTTTTGAAACCTGAAACGATAATCGCTCGAAGTGAAGCTACCGTTCTGCGTCCCGGGACGAGCAGCGCCGTCGGAACAATCCAGTCAGTATTTTCGATACTCGACGCACTTTCATGCGAAATGTAAAAATGCGAAAAATATCGGGAAAATACGGAAAAGCCCGTTCACTTCTCCAGTAGCGTGCTGTACGTCATAAATCACGTTTATAAACATTCGAAATCGACAACAACGAGAGTGTTCGGCCGGTCTTACAATTTCACGTTGTTCTCCTCCTTCAACGCGGTGTTGGCGACCGTGGTGGGCGTGGTCGACGCGGACGGCGTCGACACGGCGGCGGTGACGTTCATCTTCCTCTTCCGTCTCCCCGGGCCGCTGCTGCTCATACTTTCCGAGCCGGGGCTGCTGGGCGGCGACTCCTTCACGGTGGCGGCCGGCCCGATAGCGTTGATGAGCGTGCCCGTGCCGACGCCGCTGAAGTGTCCGCCGCTCGACGTGGGGCCCTGTATTATCGACGGCACCGGGGCCACCGTGACCGCCGGCGGCGGAGTCTGGTGATTGTTTCTGCCGCCTCTCTTGGACGTCGTCATCACCGTGGCGGCGCTCGGCACGGAGCTCACGATGGACGACGACGAGGCGGTCGTCTGCGACTGCTGCTGCAACGACGGCTGTTGGTTGTTGGACGCGCCGCGTTTCGGCTTGCGAACCTTCTCCTGCTTGTCCGACGACTGCGACCTGGAAAAGGCGGGGGTACGTTTCGAACAGTTCTTCCATTAATTACACACATCGATGTTGCGTTTGTTTCTTTCTCGTTTTCTTTTTCCTGTCCTGATGCGGATGTTTTACCCGACCGTTTGCAGCGATTATTTCGAGAAAAAACGCCCGACGATCGTGGTGAAAGCGGGCTAAGTTGTTTCCCCGCTCCTGGCCCCCGCCATTTTGAAAATATCACGCGACAGGAACGGTTCGTCCGTCTTATTTCGCTNTTATTTCGCTTTGCCGGAACGAAAATCGCCCCCCCCCCCCCCCAAAAAAATGCCTTCTTTCCAGATCACAAGGTAGAAGGGATCCTCCGAGTCTTTACTACGCCGTGTCACTCTTAACATTCCGATTGGACGGCTTACCGGGACCGTTTTACCGGCACTTCCTCCGCGGGGAACCTCTCGGTGCACGCCATCGCGCTGCTCCGTGGCTCAGGATTGGCGGCCGTCGTGCTTATGCTCGGCTGCAGCTGCTGATAGAGGGTGGGCGCGCTCGTCACCACGCTCTGAACCGTATTGGGCAGTGCGGTAGCGGTCAACGGCACGGAGACGACTATGCTGTTCGACGAGGAGGTGGTCGGTGACTGCTGGGTGAGAACCGACGGTTGGGTCTGCGTCACCGCCATTATCACAGGTGTGGTGCTCGCCGCCTCCGTGTTGGCGATCGGCGTCCCCGAGGACGACTGAATCGGACTCTCGACCTTCACCTGCACAATCGATCAGTTAGAAGGATGTAAGCCGGAAAAAGAGTGTACGAGAATCGACGAGCGTGTTTTATGCGCGCGAAAAAGAAGAGAACCAAAAAAAAAGAACAAAAAGGTAGAAAGAAAACAAACTCAGTTGCTGCAATCGAATAGGGACCAGATAAAAAGACTGGGTGATAAGAAATGATATTTCCGTTATAGCGACTGAGAACGCGCACGCGTGTGTGAACGTTTAGCTGCGTTAAGGGGGTTCGAGCGTTTAAGTAGACGAAGAAACCTATAACGTACGTGTGATATAAAAGTTGACGTTAATCGTGAATTTGTATAATAGTACGTGCGGAGAAACGTTACGATACGACGAGTTTCTCCCAATTTGACAGATTTGTGAGAATCTTCGAAAACTGCTGATGATAAAATAAGCAGTTAGAAAACTTGACCATCTAGTCGAGGAGGAATTTAGACCTACCGATGAGAATACTCGTGAAATTGACAATATATGAGTAGAAACGTCACATATACAGTAAGTTAGTACCAGATCTGAGGTAAATCTTATAGTGAAATTTGTATCTCTATTATTTATTATTTATTTTAACATAGCATCTATGCACTCCCAGTTTAAGTTAAACCGGTCCATGTGCCAAATATGATAACGAATATATTTCATGTTCACATTTCTTTTCTCTCACTATTGGTACTTACATCAAATGAGAGCACTGCGACCTTCATTTTATCATTTTCTAAATATTCGTTAATTTTCAAAATAAAAACGTCGACTGCATATCATGGCATTTACGAATTTCACCCTACTAATATTGTCGCAGAATTTTTTTTGTCATTTCGAACAATTTTATTAATACATTAGTCCTTGATGAGAGAGCAGGTCCCGGTCTACAGAAGGCGCATTAAACTTGAAGCCTTAATAAATTGACCAATCGCAATGTGAAGAGAATAATTGTGATCGGTCAATTTCTTAAGGCTTAAAAAATACCTATTGTACACCGGGATTGACGCTCGAACCTCCTTAAAACTTGGCCGAGACAACTGGAAGCGACCGAGCAGAAACCTCCTGCCGGGACCTTTCTGTCCCCACAACCGAATCTGGTCCCCCCGGGCGACGAGGAATTCAGTTACACCACTGGCCACGGTTTAGCCGAACGTTTATTTCGCAACCGTTGGAACTGTTTTCCGAGATCTGAGATCCGGCCGTTATTCTTTCAGATCTGAAGGATCCAATCGCACACGACGCAACAAAGAAACAATTCCAACGGTCAACAGTTATGAAAAAAATAAACGTTCCGCTGCGAAGGCTATCGGTTCATTTCTTTTTTTTTCCCCTGTATGTGCGTGAGAAAAGCTCACTTTTTTCAACTTTTCCGGCTCCGTCGTGGTGCTCAGGCTGGTGGCCTCAGTGATTGTCGGTTGCTGTTGTACGTTATTACTCGGTACCGCCTGCTGCACCACCGAATTAACGGCGATCACGACCGAGCCGCTGGCCTCCGAGCTGGCGGACTGATTCGAGTTCTCGTTCCCTATTACCGTCGGCGTGCGCGCCCCGGTCTTCCTCTTTTTGCTAGTGTGGCTCGACACTTTGCCGGTGGACGAGTTGGACGACTTGACCTGGCCGATGTTCTTGTGCGCGGCACTGTTGGCGCCGCCGGCGGCCGTCTTGATCGCGCCGGCCGCCGCCGCCGCCGCCGCCACCGCCGCCGCTACCGTGGTGGTGGAAGCGGCACCGTCGTGCCCGAACACGCTCTCCGACTGCGTGACGATCGTCTCGACGAAGTTGGAGGTCGTGAACTTGCTGGAACTCGTGGAATTATCTTTGGGCGTATTGCGACCGCTGCTGCCACTCTTGTCGTCCGCGGCAACGCCGTTTATCTCTAAACTGGGACTAGCATTCGATTTACTTTTGGAATTCGCCGTTGACTTGGAGCCGGAGCTCTTCCGCTTGCCGCTGCCCGTTTTAACCGGCGCTTCCGCCTCCTTCTCCGGCGACGAGTCCGACGAGCCGTTGTCAGCCGTTGGTATCGGTTTATACGGCGGTATTGTCTTTACGTTACCGCCCTTTTTCTGCAAAGAGCAGTGGGAGTCGAGAGAGCGTGTTTACACGATCGCGCGCCACCTCCATCAAGATCCTGATCTATCGGGTGTACAAATTGATTCGGTGCCTTTGCATTTAATAACCTCTGGTTCAAATTTAAACATGTTTTTTTTCTCTCCCCGTCCTACGGTGATTCGAAAGTGCCGACAAGCGCCTTAAGCTTTGAGAAACACTGTAATAGTTGACGACGGCCTTGCCGATGTAACCACAGGAAACGGTAGTTATCAACGATGTTGCTCGAAGAGAAGCATCCGCCGAGGTAGTGCGTCCATTTTTGCACCCCAATCGAATAAAAACGCTGCTCGGTCTACCGTTAGATGATTTGTTCCGCTTTGGGCGAAGGTGCTGTGACCCATGAAACTTGCGAAAAGACCTTTTACCGGCGACAACGCGCGGTCACCATACCGCAAGAGGGACGAAGGATCTCTCGTCTGTACATCGGGCTGGGAAATTCTCCCTCGTGCGGCTTATTCGCCAGATCCGGGCCCGTCGGATCACCGCCTATTTCGGTCGCTTCAACATCATCTATGGCGGATACGCATCTTAAAAAAAAACAGTCGACGAGGTCCGAGAAAGCATCTTGATGACTTTGATCGAGTCAAAACCGCCGAGTTTTTCCCCGCGGGGACAGGCACTCATCAGCCGCCCGATAGTTGCAGTAAAGTCGTAGAAAATAATGGAAATTCTCTCGAACGTTAAACTCGCACTTGATTTATTGTAAATAAACTTTGAATTTCATGAAAAAAAGGCACCGAATTAAGTTGTACACCTTGTACAATGTGCTCTTTGTTTTCTTGCTCTCTGTCTCTCTTTTCCATAAGCGGAATGTTCTCATAGAAGAAAGATAGGGAACAAGACGCAAAGAGTACATTGTGGACCAAGCTTTAGAGAGAGATACATACATATAGAGAGAGAGAGAGAGAGAGAGAGAGATGCAGAAGCAAATACAAAAAATTACTAACCAATTTCGAGTAATGATGCTGACAATATCCGCAGTATTTCACATTGTCGAGGTAATTGCCAGCTTCCTCGCAGAGCAAGCCCAGGGCCTGCGCGCATGTGACGTGAAATTGCTGCCTGCAGCCTGTTTTGTTACATTGCATGCACGCTCCCACGTTTGCTCTGTTGCCCCTCCCTTGTTCCTCGCAGATGTAACACGACTGAAATGATTTCATTTGTGATTTACGTGGTGCGATGAATGAGAGAAGAAACAAACGACGTGACAAACAACACGAGTGTGACAACATAATAGCATACAGCACGAGTGGTAATATTTGTCTTTTTTTTTTTTTTTCTTAGAAGCGAAACTCTGCCCTGACGGTGGGTGTTCTATTTTTACCTTGTTGAACCTTTCCGGAGGGATAAGCTGCAGTATAATCGGTTCCATCGTGGTCACGTTACCGAATCGAACTTCCGGGATGTAGAGAGCGCACACGACATGCGCCCAGCCAGCTTGATCGGTCCTCTTGAGGGCTCCATCCCGGCTCGGGCATAATTCGCAGCGCTGCGCAAATTATGTATTTGGTAAAGCGTGTCCCAAGAGTACTTGTACTTTCTATTGTTATCATATAGTTGACGTTAATATTTATATTAATATTTACATTATTGTGCCGTTACACACATGATTGGCGATTCTAAATAACTTTTATACGTAAGTCGCAGAAGAAAATAATGACTGCCTTCAGAAAACACATGCGATCGATCAATGATTATTGGTCCTTACCGTTAGATCCCTGAATTTAAAGACTAATTACGACGATGAATTACCCATGTGTCTTCCGAACGGCAGAGAAAGAGAGAGAGAGAGGGAAGGAATTCTACGTACCACACGCGCGCTGCGTTCCTGCGACTCGCATTTCCTGCAGTACCACGGTCCCGTCGGCACAGTGACGATGCCGTAGCAAGCTGCAAAAAGAGAAGAAAAAGTATTGCTTGCATCCTGTTCCTGCTGAGACCAACACAGGATCGGTCGATTCTCCATGTAAGTTCGAAAAATACAGGGATGTAAAACATGGCTGTACAGTGGGCAGTAGGAGTATGTTTACAAGAATTGACCAATCATAGTTGACTATTCTCCTTACATTCAAATACGATTAGTCAATTTCTTACTCTTACTCCTTATAAACACACTCCTACTGCCCATCGTGGGCCCACGGTTTTACCTTGATGAACGGCAACGGTGCAGCCCTGTCCATCGCAGTACACCAATGGATTTTCTGTCCAGCCCCTCTCGTCAGAACACACACAGCACCCTCCGAGCATCTCCTTCATGCTGTGCCCCAAGCAATTCGGAAGACGAGACTAGCATGAGGAGCTAGGCGGATCGCGTGGTGATCGTCCGGCGTGGCGCGAGCTCACTCGCCGCGGCGCGTGATCGCATCCTGCCGACGTCGACGGCCCCGCAGCGAAACGGCGCTTTCGATGGGGGCCCCCGCAGCCTCCACCGCCGCCGCCGCCGCCGCTATCACCGCGTGCGTTCGCGGCACCTTCGGCTCGGCCGAACGATTCACTCGAGACACAACACAAACCGCGGATCCGCGCGCGCGTCGTCACGTGCGCGACGAAGAGCAGCGGCCTCTCGCGCGAGCGAGGGAGCGCGAGCGAGCGAGCGAGCGAGGCTCGCGCGGAAATCGTCGCACGCTGCCGCCTCCGCCAGTCCACGAGGAAGCGAGAAGCGGTCGCGCGTTTTAGCGCGCAGAAAGGAAGTCGAGAGGGTATTCACACATACACACACGCCGCGCACACGCTGATCGGTGGGTGTCGCGACCTCCCGGCGGCGAACGTGCACGCGCGCGGCCGAGATCGGTCGGCGTGCGCGGGAACGCAGAGACGCGCGGATCAACGTGGTGCCCGTCGCGGAGCGTGTTTTCGGACGGTTTGTTATTTACGACGGCGCTCTATTTATTTCGCTGGTCGGCCATCTTATTTTGGTTGTCGCGCGCGAGCCGAGCATGCGCAAGGCGCGCCACCGTGCGGCAATCGCGCAAGGCGCGTCCAGACGTAGCGATTAGTCCTGGTCTGCAATGTGTGCTTTAAGCTTTAAGTCTCGAGAAATCGAGACCAATCACGGTCGAGAGAGTGTGAAGGGAATAATCAACTGTGATTGGTCAATTTCTTAAGGCTCAAGGCTTAAAATGTCTATTGTAGACCGGAATTGGTTCAGTCTTAGGTACGTATCAGACAACTTAAGTTTAGTGAAATTTAGTGAACTTTGCACTGATTGGTCAAATTTCAATTCAATCTCAATTTCCAATCCATAGTCTGATACGGGCTTTACATGCGTCGTACGACGAGCGTTGTCGGGTGTACTGATTGGCTGTTGGATAGAGAATTTCAAGGGTCCCTAAATTTTTCTCTAGACACACTTAAAATTCACTATTTGATAGTCAAGCGGCACATCCGACATCTCGTACGACGTATCCTCGACGAGCGAACATCGATGTTTCTTAAATATCGATGATTTTGCCCATCCCTACTACATATCGATAGGTGCGATATATCGAAAGCCGCCATCTTGTTCCTACGCATGTCGTAATTGATTCGACGGTTTTTATGATCTGTGATAAAGTCTCGATTTGATCGAGATTCGCAATGTTGTAATTGTTGGTTTTATTGATAACGTTTTATCGACATTCAATTACGACATAATTGATAATAATCTTTATTATAAGCAAAGTCGGGGAGTAACATATTACTTGTAACAACCCAACAAACACCAAGTTACATAAATATGTAATATTGTATATTATAGTATATGATATAATAGTAGTATCACCGAAAGAAATTGTAATTAATAAATGAGCCACTACTGGATCAATGAGAGCGAAATTTATAACATCTATAATTTTGACGCGTATGTATGTCGATATCGATATATATATTCTAATGTGACGTTTTACAGATTATCTGCACCAGTCATACGGCGGAAAAACGAACTTATAATGTTCTGATACGCACTGATATCGTTAAAATTAGTTGTCGTCAGCGACAATAGTGCCGGAAGTTTTAGATAATACACGCGAGTGATATTTCGCAACATTGTGCACGAAGATATGCAATTAAATGCGGATGTATGATAATAATAACGCAAATTCTCTAATCCCATGAATATTGTACTAATCTTCGTCGTTTTATCGTTATATTCCATGATGTTACACATCGAGTATATGTGTCTGTTCCAATAAGGAAAATTTCAAAGAACATTTTTGCACCTTTGCAATTGTATATAAAAGCCTAGTAAGATACGAAAAGTTTGCAGAAAAAATTTTATCTTGATTAGATTCTCCGTTAAATATGGTGAAAGTAGCGCAGATTCATCTTATTCATATTTATATTGCACTAATATTTACGATGATTGTTTCATAAGTCCTTAGAAAATATATAAGATGGCGCCACTAATACCAAACTGACACGATAGTAACGTCTACACACACACACGCATCATACATAATTTCAAACAAATTTCAATTGGTTTTAGATTGTAGGCACCCAAGAAGTTTACAATATGTTAGACGAAAATTTGGATATGAAAAAGCTATTCGCAAGATGGATTAACGTTTAGGAATGTTGATTTCATATATATTTTTTGAACGTTTCTTAGTAATATCACACTTATATTTTAAATGTATTGTTTCATAATATGATTTTTCTGAATGTGGTAAAAATAAAAAAAAAATTATTTTTAAACATTACAAAAAATATTTTCTTCAGTATTACTCTGACATTTATTTGAAGTCAACGCGACAGTTTAAAAAATTGCTCGTAACTTGGACTTGGAAATAACGTTAGTGAAACATTAATTTTCTGTTTATTACAATATTATGACTTTGATCAGACAATAAGTAATAAAATCACTACAACGAGTCCTATTTTTATAATATATTCTTGTAATGTAAATAAAAGGTAGTTTCCTGTCGGTCACCTGGCCTTCGCTTCTCCTCGATTCAAGGAGACACTTTTCAAATAAGTTTATCTTGGTTTATCTTGGCGAAAAATTGTCGACGATAAGGCGATAATGGGACTTGCCTATAATTTTATGCCGCGTAAAACGCTCCTAAGCCGATACAACGTGTGCGTCGTAATGAACAAACGATATTTCTAAGCGACCCGACCGTGTACGTACGACTTTATCAAGCGGTCGCGTCGTCAAACATTCGTAGTCATCAAGCAACTACGTACACACAATAAAGTACCGGCGACAATCGCGATTTTTTTTTCGCGTTCCCAGCAATTCCACGGTGGTATCAAGATAACAACTCGTTACATCCTCGTCGGCGAAGATATATAGTCGTTCGCGGAAAAATGCGCGAGATACTCTCGAACGGCTCGTCCGAGTAAGCTGATCGCTTCTGCTTTCCGCACGTCGATCGTGAAAGACAGCAATTTTCGAAGGTGCGCCCTAAGCTGCGAGGATCACGAAAACGAAAAGGAACGTCATTCGCAACCTCCTTCGGTGGTCGACGATTGAAAACGCTCGCGCGCGCGCACATACAAACGAGTTTCGAGTAATTATTTACAATAGAGCCTTTCTCGAATTTTGATATTTTTTTTGCGGTATTCTCGGTGAAAATCTTTGTTAATTACAGTCCGACGGTGACGATCAATCGGGGAAGCCCGATATATGTAACCTATCTATTTTTGTTCAACGTGAAGAAAGATCGGTGACTTGTTCAAGTTTGTTTGTAAAGGCCAGCAAGAGTTTGACAGTCGCAATGTAAAGTGGCGGAGGTGCCGGAAGCTCCGAAAAATTACATTGAAAAAAAAGAAGGAAATTAAAAACGTAGGTGAATTACACGTTTCTCGGACTCCTCCCGTCGATTATCCGACCGGCCGGAGTCACGACGAACGGAGATTCACGCCGAATCTGGCGCGAAAGAGCAAAATATGAAAATTCGAAAAAGTTCCCTGTGCGTAACGCAGAGAGTCGGCCGGATGTCGGGAGTCACGCGGGAATCGTCGAATCCGCAGCGCGCGATGGATCATGGAGGAAGCCCGAGACAGTGCGATGCGCAAGACGCGGGCATAAACATAGTGCGTAGTGTGTGTATCGATCGGCAAATACCGGGCTTTTCTTTCAGACCGCTCCAGGATGCCCGTCTGCCTCGGCACCGATCCCACCGGCACCGAGTACAGAATCCTCAGCGGGGACCGGCTGGAGGACGCGCTCGCCGTGCAGCAGATGTCGATGCATCACGAGTGCGTCGCAATCGGCATGGGCATGTACGAGGAACCTGGTGCGGCCGAGGAGATGAAGCTCGTGCTCAGGGAGGTCGCCAAGGACGGTTGCACCGTGATCGCGGTCGATCGGTCGGACCGTGTCGTCGCCGTCGCGTTCAACAAGTTGTGTGCAAGTATATCGTGCGTTCTTTGCCGCGGGTAACGGCTCTCTTCTAGAGTTGGACGATACAGCATCTATACCGCATTGATACCGTATCGGTGCAGTATCGATGAAGTATCGATAGATGGGGAATAGGGTTTCCCCCCGGTAACGTAAGGTTTTCCTCCCCACAAATTGCGGTGTGGGGGGAACCTCCTGTGTATCGATACTGGAGTTGAGCGATACAGTACGTTCGTCGTTTCCGCTTATTTAATATAAATTTTCGCGCGTTCGTCGGCTATTTCTTTTAACCAATTTGCATCAGAAGCGAAACAGTATCTGTTTCGCCTTTCGACCGTCATCACGGAAATGGATGGATCGCGTATTTTAACGTGTGCGTGATGCAAATTTCATCGGAATCTTATCAAGACTCATTTCTTCGTCTCACAACCCCCTTGAAATAAAAACCACGTCCGAATATAACGGAAATCACCCGCCGATTATTATTTTACACGATTTCCCATGTGTTCACAGGTGCCGACCAAGCCGGGAGAGACGGATCCCTTGCAAGTTTTCATAAACAACAACATCAAGCATCGCCCGTGTCGGGATTTTTTTGATTTCTTGGGCGACGTGAGTTTGCTAATCGCTAACGACCACGATAGGAGCGTCCTAGTTTATCTTGAAATGTTGAAAATCTTTCGCAAACAGCGGTAAATTTCGCAACTATCGCAAGGAGCTTTACGTTGTTAGCGCGTTGTTAATTAATCTTCGCAAGTTGTTACAGTGTTCCACCATATTTACGGAGTGTCGTTCGTGACGGTGCAAAATGATTCCTCGTGTCACACGTCGTTATCTCATATTGTCCTGTTAAGTGTTTTTCCTTGCATAATTACACCTTGCACTATTCGCATTTCCGTACTAATAGCTTCGACTATATTCAGCATTACATGCTTGTCAAATTTAACAACAGTTTTTTTTTTTTTTTTTAAAAGTAGTGACATTTTTATTTCAACCCAAAGTATATTAAAGTTTAAACGATATTTTCTCTCTTTCTCTCTCTTTCTCTCTGCATGTCCACCGAATAAATATTTCTTACCTTCGGACATTTTTCTTTCGGTGTTGCGGTCGAATCATCAAATCGAGTGAGATAAACACACTCATAGTCATCGAATTAATAAAAAAATTCGCACGATAAATTGCGCGAGAAATGTGATAAAAAATCGCGTTAACTCATGTCATCAGGTGGAGTCGCGCGTGGACATCTTCCAGAGGTACAACGCGCGCGGCGCCATGGAGATCTTCTATTTAGGCACGGATCCGCGATATCGAGGTCGCGGGATCGGCCAGCAGATCGTGAACATGAGCCTCACGTTGGCGCGAGGGTTGCACGCGAGGAAGCTGAAGCAGATCTGTGTCGGCAAGAGCCCGATCGTCAATGAGCACGTGCGGCCGGAAGTGATCTTCGCCGCCGTCGCGTCCACCATCAGCCAGCGAATCGCGGAGAAGCTGAACTTCGAGACCCTCTTCGAGGCGCGTTACGAGGATTACGTGCGCGGCGGGAAGAAGATGTCGGAGAGGATAGGCCCGCGGCATCAGACGATCCGATTGGTCGCTCACAAGCTTTAACGTGAGAGAAAGAGAGAGAGAGAGAGAGAGAGAGAAACATCCGAGATTTCTATATCGGATCTCACACAGGGTGTCGTCAAACTAATCTTGATTCCCAAGTAGAACGGCAGTGAAACTCAGGCGAAAAGTCTTATATCATCTTGCAGATAACGCGCAAAATTGCGAGTTATCGATGATTGAAATTGGCCACGTATAGAGGCTTCTTTAATAAATAACTCGACAATTTGCGTGTTGTATCTGCAAAATGGTATAGAATTTTTCCGCTCAGTTTCATCCGTTCGAATCGGATCTATACACAAGCTGTTCGACAAAGTTACAAAATGAGCTTTTTCATTGTCTCGAGGAACGACTCAACAATTTTGCGCACCATAAGGTTATAATTTACGCAGTATAACACAGAGTATTATGTAATAAATAATATATCATATTGTATGCGTGTAAGATATCGTACGAAGAAATATAATTGCCGATTATACGGTAAATTTACACGGATTTATACGGTGAATCCGCGATCGAGTGCGAATCGCTGCTATACGACTTGTGCTTTCAAATCGTGATAGCATAAATATGCCTTTTTCCTTCAAGATGCTCATTTACGTGTCATGTGGCGAAAAAGTGGCGGGACTTTTCTGTGCACGTATATGAGTCACTGACGTGAGCGAAGGGGTTGATTAATTAATCGTCAGTCCACATCTGAACAGTGTAACTACGAGCGAGGAATGTTTTAGAGGGGGGAAGAGAGACAGAAGAAGAGATATAAGTTAAAGATTTTTTTATATAAGTATATATATATGTATGTATATATATATTAATTAAACATTTAATATATCATACGCACGATCGCGGAAACGCTCACGACGGTGATGCATGGAGACGGGCGTCGCGATTTTGCGCGGAACTCTGCACCCTCCCGTTCCCAATCGTGTCATCGCTCGCGGAAAATTGTGCAACGACAATTCGCGTCCATCTTGGCCAAAAGTCCGGACGAGATATCTCGGACGACAATTTGCGACATCTCGATCGGCACGTGGCTTATCGCGATCACGCCTGAAGGTATTTCAACAAAGCCACTGAAGACGACGATAACAGTCATTACGAACAATTATAATAGTAGCTCCCGCGCGGTTCTGCGCGGATATTGACGCGTTCGTCACGATAGCATGACGATGATGACGGAATCGACAGCAGCGTGCGGAAATGATTCTTCTTCTTTACTTTTTTTTTTTAACTATTGCTTACAATATTGATATTATGTTATCATGGAATGCGCACCGAAGCGAAGACGATTCGGCGCGCCGTTCCATTCTTATCGGGGAGATTACCCGGTTAATCTCTCCCCTCTCCCTCCCGCTATGTAACACACATAATACAAAATAAATAATAAGAATGTGTAATTACGGGCTATTCGTGCGTTCTTCGAGAACATCTATTCGTTACGGCATAAGGCAGAATGTTTTGTCGGGAAGGAGAAACAGAGGGCTATCGAGACAGACATTCAAATTCTTAGGTTAAAATTCTCTTAAAATTCTTCAAAATAAAAAATTTGTAATTTTTCAAATTTTTTAATTTAAAACTCTTTTAAAATGAGAGATCATTAAATTAATTGCCTACGATAAATTTACCATTTATGCGTTCTTACATCCAGGTAATTGCGATTTTTACGTTGCAACCCTTAAAAGACTTGTATCTCCCCTCTCCCTCCCACTACGTAACACATAACATATAATACAAAATAAATAATAAGAATATGTAATTACAAGTTATACGTGCGTTCTTCGAAAACATCTATTTGTTACGGCACAAGGTGGAATTTTTATCGGGGGCAGTCGGAGAGCTATCAAGACAGATATTGAAATTCTTAGATTAAAAATCCTTTTAAAATTCTTCAAAAAGAAAAATTTTTTATTTTTCAAACTTTTTTACTTACAATTCTCTTAAAATGAAAGAGATCGTTAAACTAATTACCTACGATAAATTTATGATTTACGCGTTCTTATATCCAGACAATTACGATTTTTACGTTGCAATCCTTAAGAGACTCGTGTTTTGATGCAAAGAACATGATTACTATTGCAAAATTAGTCACAATAAATTGATCATTATGAAATCCAGGTAATGTCGAATTTGCGCTGGTCTCACGATCTCTCAACGAAGCGCGGAGTTTTTCCGTTTCATCTTCGAAGAACACACGAATAACACATAATTACATATCTTTACTGTTCATTTTACATTACAGGGTAGGGAAAGGGACTGGTTGAGCAGACTTCTTCTCGGGAAGGGACACCCAGTGTGTTTACAATATTTAGTAAAGTTATAAAGCGTCGAGATCTGAAGGGAGCGCGCAATACGAGGCGCGATTGTCCGCTCGTTCTACGAGAGGGAATAATCATATGACGGGCGAAAACTTCCTCCTGCTACTTAAGGGCTGCTACTTTAAGGGTTGTTTTTCCGAACTTAACCTCTCGAATATCTTAACTCGGGAAAATATATCGAAGGATTCGGACGCTGTGCAAAAAATGTGAAAAAATGCGAAACATCGATTTTTTCGAGATTTCAAACGTATCTTAAACTCCCTCAATCCACTTTAGCAGCGTCTCTCGCATAACGTTCTGCATCGAGATAAATTATACAGCGACTTATACAGTGACATTTCGCGCATAATAATCAACCCAGGGGCGAAATCGACGCGGGTTTCGACGCGCGTGTCGCCACAACGAAGTAAATCTTAAAAACGGAGAATATACAGTATCTGTATTGCAAGATCAATTGAGCGTACTTTCGCGCGAAATTTCGGCAAACGAGATCGACGGAACCGGCTGGTTATTACATTGAGTCTCAATGTTCAAATTAGCGCGGATCAGCCGCGCCGGAGAGAGTCGGACGTGCAATTAATTAAATGCTTCTTAGAATACTTTCGTCGCAGCTATCGAGCGGCGACAAAATGCCTGGCGATGCTTCAAATTGCACTTCAATTCCTTTTTTCTGATAACTCCTGGTTTTTTTGTATATATATAGTATGTTATATGTATATAGTATGTTATTTACGCAACATGTATATTTATATGTGTGCGTATGTGTGTGTGTGTGTGTGTATATATATAGGTATCCCTATATAAATTATTATATCTTTCTGTGCTACACACGTCGCATATTCATATCTCATGGAGTTAACAAACAGACGTATGTATCGATAGAAAGTACACACAGAAGGAAAACTCGTTCTTGTACAACACACATCTCCCTGTATAGAAATCGAGAGCTTCGGCACGGCGTGAAACGACGGGGTGAGGTTAGAATTTTGCCTGAGAATCACATTCATCTGTGTATTTCCATGGACTCGGAGAGACGGGAACAATTACGGGCGAGCACGGGAAAATGCTCATCGAAGAGAAACTCGAGATTCGAATTGATTCTTGTTCATGTCGCGCGTTCGGCGATTTTTGTATTCTCCATGGAAGGTATTCTGCGCGCACCGAAACGAATTTCGTCGTTTCTTCGTCGCACCTAAGCTCTCAATTATTTATCTCGATTACTTTTTACGCACTTTTTACGCTAAACACAGCACGAATATATTTAGTTTTATTATATACGAAGGCTACTGTGTACTACGGTATTCAGCGGTGGTCGATTTACGAGGACTGACAATTAAGTTCCCTATAAGCGCGTAATAAAAAAACTTTTATATATATATTTATATAACAATTATATATATATACACATAGAGTTGAATATTAAAAGAAAATATATAATGTTATAATAACATTAAATATTATTTTTTAAATATTATTAGGAGACATATATAACCGTCTATTAATATCTCAGAAATATTATTTAATATTAAATAATATTAGTTATAACGCACGTTAACGCAATCACCGGTTCTCCGTTCTTCTAAATCCACGATACAAATTTTTTATCGCGTAAGGAAAGAACTGTTTTGCAAAATCCGACAAAAATTTAACTGTGCAACTTGACTTCGGTCGCGCTGAAATTTGCACCGAGCGTAATTCAAGAATACCATTTCACGGCCAGCTCGTCGCGCACTGTTTCCGTATAATGCACACGAAAAGAGCTTAATTGTCGGTCCTCGCGTATCGACGAAGCTACTGATTGCAACAAGAAGTGGCATGGGTATAGTTTTATTATCGTTGCACTCAGCCGACCGCGTTAGTTACTTTCGCCGTTAACGCACACCCCGCTATTACTGCTATTGTAAAAAATGTGGACGTATAGCTTCCCTTTGTTTCTTCCTTCTTCCTTTTTTTCTTCGATAGAATACTATTGACACATTACCAACAACAAGTTAACATCCTCTTCTTCACCTTAACTTCGTTCTAAATTAACTTACAGCCCAAAGGTTGCAATCGCTGTCAACGAACTACGCCGCGTGTCGATTTGACCCATGACATAAATAACGACACTTGTATATTATTATAATAATTATTATCGTTATTATTATTATTATTATTATTATTATTATTATTATTTTGAAACAGTAACGCGACCACTATGCGAACGCTTAAATACTTAGCTTAACTTGAGTCGCTCGGGACTCGTGAGTTTGGCACGAATAATTTTTCTTCGTTCGTTCAGAGATTACTCTGAGCCGCGTTTTTGAACTTTTGATTTTCTTTCGCTTTTTTTTTTCGTTTGTCCAAAGAAGTTTGATTATTTGGTATTTTCATTCCGGGGGAGGGGGAGGGGGGGAGCACAAAATCAGGTTGAAAAGTCAGTAAAGGATTCGACGGAATTCGGGACTAAACGACGGCGGGAACAGAATTGGGTGATTTAACAGGAACAACTGCATGCATGTCTTTTACGTTCGAAGATTAACATTAGTAAGAGGTGTCTCAATATGCACGAAGGATGAAAAATGTAGAAATTATGGGAATGGAAAAAAAAAGACTCGAGAAGAATTTAAGAGACAACACAATAACTATAATACATAGTGATAATATTACAATATAATAAAATAATAAATATATCAATATAATAAAATAATAAAATATTTATATATATCAATATTTATATATATCAATATAATAAAATAATAAAATAAAAATAATGAAAAAAATAAATAAAAGGAACCATTTACAAGAAAATCAAATTATTTTGTACTTATCTAAAAAAGAAAGTGAAACGAATCACTCGCAAAGAGTTATTTCACTCTTTCGCAAACATTTTCTACAGATGAGGAGAAAAAAAGGGAACAGCATTTTTATCAAAATTCAGGACTTTTGGCCGAAAAACTACCTTGTTTTCGAATCATTGTGCGACGGATACGCGAGCGTAATCGCGCGAGCGTAATTGGCACTCCGATTGGCATGAGGAAGACGCGACGGGGATTTTTGCTGATGGCGTACAAACGGTCGGTTAACGTTATTTGGAAACTTTCGGCCGCCACGGGGCGAGCAGTGGGACTTTTGCACGTGGACGGTTTCGCGGTACGCTCCGTTAATCACCGGGACACGCGCAACTACTTCGAGACGAGTTTGTGCGCTGAAGTTACCGATACCTAGTAATGTTTAACGTTAGACGCGGGGACGCGTCCTTTAGAGAGATCACACATATACGTGCGAGATGCGCGCACGTACCTCAGTCGCTCGGCTTATTACTTTAGTATCCACATGGGAACTGCTAAGTGCAGCTGCCCACATAGCACGTAATATCACAATAATGTCAAAATAATATTGCAATATCACAGAAATATTATACATTACTGTGTAATATTACAGTGATATTACTAATATATTACGTGTATATATATATATATATATATTTCGATGTTAGACACATATATATATATATATATATAACATCGAAATATCACAATAATATTGCTACAATATATTACATCCTGAGTAACAAGGTGACATCGAATGACGTTCCAATTACGTCTTATGGACGTTATAGACGTTATATTGAGCAAATTATCTTCTGAAATTCAAACAGAGACGTTGAAACGAAATAATATGATATATATTTAAATACTGCTGTGATATCTCAATAATATTGTAGCAATATTTTTGCTGCATTACGTTGTAATATTGCGATGGAAATATGATATTGCCGTGCTATGTGAGAGGTAATACTGATTCTCCTTCTTTCTCTCCCTCTCTCTCTCTCTCTCTCTCTCTACGTCTTCCTCCCTTTTTCTTTCTCTCTCCTTTCCTTCCTCTCCTTTTGTCTTTAGCGAAGTACGCTACTATCGTCTAATATTCGCATGCACAGGGCTGCGAAGGAGAGCTGCCTTCTAATGTATCGGACATAATCCCGATGGAAATATTTCGCTGAAAGTACATCGTGAGATCGATGAAGAGTGAAATGAAAGTTATCGAAAGATTACTGGATATGTGATAAAAATTAATCATAATTCCCCTTATAAGATTGCAATATAATACTGTGAAATACGAGGAAAGTTAAAATATACCGTTGAAAAGTGGTGAGAAAATTTTGAAGTATCAAATATCATAAAATCTACCGAAAACACTGATAATTATATGATTCTTTAAAAAGTTTACATGACTCTTAAAGAAAAATTGTTAATATATTTTTCACTGAAATATCGATGAAATAATAATAAAACGGAATGTCGATTGAAGGAGATTTTCAAATATGCTTCGGCAAATTTTCACTATATTCTCAGTAAAATATTTCCACTGGGGAAGCGGGGACGTGCCTGACGTTTTTCGATAGGGTGAGGCAGGGATCTCCGTTTCTCTGTTTCGCAGATCGGCTTTCCACGACTTAGCTATTCAACGGTACTTGGTAGTTCGGTAATGCTACTTATTGAAACTCCACGATTACGATCGCATCGACGGGAAAATTGCAGGGAAATTCGGAAAGAGTGAAACGTCCCTCGCCGGCACGTCTCTGTGCGGCTCCTGTGCATGCGGGCTAAAAAGGTTTACTTTCCGCACTTTTGTAATCGTTACTTTTTGCTCTAACCCAGCCACCCCTCCCAAACACACGTGTAATTTGAACTTGTTCGAAAATATGAGACATCTCGTTATCAAAATAAAATATAAACTGGCTATAACGTTGTGTCGCGTGACGCAAATCGTTCGGCAAATACATAGGAAACATTGATCGCTCTCCCTCCCTCTCTCTCTTTCTCTCTCTTTCTGCCTTTAATATTTTTTCTTTTCTTCTCTCTCTCTCTCTCTCTCATTACCACGAAGGGCGAATTTGACCGATATCGGCGTTTGTTTTTCTTATCACAGCATGCGCCGCGAATTCGCATGACTCGCGCTCGCGGGCGGAGGAATTTTACGGACGACACGCGCGACAAACAGCGAAATCGAGCAAGCGAATCGAGGACGGCCTCGTCCACGCTCGAACGAAGGAAGAACATCGGCGTGGGTCTGGGAAACGTCGACGTGATGCAGGGTGAGTCGGTTACAAAGTCAACCCGGTGACACGATCTTACATCCCCCTCGAAGTCACGAAACTTTTACATTCTAAGCGTTTCTCTCTGAAACGCCTCGTTCTCGAGATATGAATTTGCAACGCTTCGACTCACCCGGTACACCCCGGATGTAAATTGCAACAACAATGACATTATTATGGCCGGCTCGGTGAATTTCATTCCCTTTGTTTTGTTTCGTCGGATTGCACGTGTCGATCGTCCCGACCGGTGAACGAGCCCCGTCGCTCCGTCCTCCCGTCGAGCCGATCGGGCGATTCGTTTCCGTGGATCACCGTCTGCTGGAGGCTCACCGCGCGGGTCCGGTCAGCTGTTTAGAAGAGGATTCATCTGTGACAAGGCTCACGCTGGATGTCGGGCGGCTGAACGGTCTGGTAGGGCAGCTGGGTGTCCCGGAAGTGCGATCTGACGAGCAGGCCGAGGCCGAGCAGGACAACTGGAAGACCGAGCAGGGCGCAGATCAGCTCGCCCGTCACCGACGGTGACCAAGCGATGGTACCTGCGCATCCGGGTGGTTTCCCTTCAAAAGTGTCTCGTTAACGCGGAATTAACGAACGAGCCCGTAAATCCCCGAACGTTCTCGAGTCGAAATTTTCCCGCTGAGAGCGCGCACGACCCCGTTTTTAGATGCGAAGGGGCACTTTTCCGTAATAACGAGAGAACTCTACCGCTCTACGACGACGTCATTTCATTATCAATATGCATATTTACCGCCGTGCAAACCGACGTCCATTTTGTAGATACTCCACCAGATGCCGGAGAGCGGAAGCGACACGGTCGCAACGGCCACGCTGAACACTGCGCTCTCGCACAACGACAGGAAATTAAGCATCGAGATCGCGAAGACGACGTAAGCGAGTAGAAACGTCCATCCATAGCCGGACACGTTCGAGCACGGCTTGCTACTCTTAAAGTGACATATCACCCCGTGCTCGACGGCACGGTACAGTTGCACGGGCGAGAAACCCTGAAACGTCATTCGAAAGGAACCACCTGATCTTCAATGAAGCGAGGTAAAATGTGTGAAATGTTTTCCTTGTGTTTTTTTTTCTTCGAATTATCCTCAGCGTGACCTCAGAGACTTGAAACTCGTCGTTGAAGTTCACCTGTCCTCAGTAATCGCGCATAAATGCGACTTTTTAAAGAAGAAAAAAAAAGGAAAAAAACTTTGTTTTTCTAATAATTAAAAATGAAGCCTCTTAACTTGGAAAATCCTGTAACTAAGAATTTCGTTCTCGGTGGAGACACTCACCCTACCGAAACCGGGCACCGTGTCGAGCCAGCAGACCGCCAGGACCGCGAAGAAAGCGATGACGTGTATGTAAAAGAGGGTCTGCAGAATCGGCGGCTTGGGGTAGCTCTTCGGCTTTATCGTCGGGTCGGGGTCGGTCACGTGGAGGAGCCGGCCGCCTTCCTCTTCGGAGCCGCGACGACGAATATCACGGGAGGACACCAAACGGGACACCGTGTAGAGGAAGGAGTTGTGCTGGGTCGTCAACATTTGACACACGTTTTGTTGCTGGGAACAGATGCGAAGGATCGTGAAAAAGGAAAACGGGTCATTCGTGTGAACAAGTCCGATCGTTCGGGAAATCAAAGCGCGAATCGGCCGTCTGAGAAAATTCGAAATCATAAATCCCACGGAATACCACAAAGCACGAATCCCGCATCGGGAGGGAGAAAGCGTCGGTGTGAGTGAGAATTACCGCGGTGGTGTAATGCCGTTCGAGCAAAGTGAAGAACATGGCGAACGCGGCGAGGCCGCCCACGTAAATGATGGTCCAGAGAATTCGGATGCCCCAGGTTCCCCTCATGGCCGACGTCGGGTGTGAAGGCACCTCCCTCCCGCGACAACGGAACTCGTCGCAGAGACCGTAATCGACGCTTATGAACAGACCCACTATTATGGTCGTGCTCGAGAATATTCGCTGCAGGCTCATCACTGTAACACATTTGAAAGGGAGACACACATACAATGTATCTCATGTCTACAATTCACACCTGCGACACCTGGGCAGATAAATAATTTCTACACGGAAGGAAAGAAAATTAAGTATCAATTCGAGACTTGTACATTCTAATGGAACGCGATCAGGTTTCATATATAAGCATGAACGTGTTATCTTCTTACGGAGATTTAATATATTCTTGAATTTCGACGGTGTCACGATGTTACTGCAAGATTACGATCAAATTCGAAGTGAGACGGAGGAATCGTTGTTGTAAAAATTTCCAATAGTTCAGTTTAATATTACAAACTGCTTCCTCCAAGAATAAGATACATTCAAGTAAGGATAATGTGATTTCAAGTTAAGGAATTTGCAATTCTCGGCTTGCACGTTAAATTTTGTCGTCGAGGTCTACTCACTTTTACGGCAAAAGAAGAAGTAGTAGACGAGAGAGAAGACAAGGGTGATGCCTTTGATCGGGTCCTGCAAGTGGCACAGTACTCTGTTCTGATCGTGGGACAGGGTGACGAACATTCCCGCGCTCGCGTACAGGAAGCTCACTTTCAGCAGATCGTCGCAGGGTATCTTGACTCGCATACTATTCGGGATCAGCGGTGGCGGTGGCGACACCCTCTCCACGACGAAGTACACCACCCCCAGGATGAAGGCGGAGCATAGGGCGATGAAAAGAAGTCCTGCGAGAATTACGAGGATCTTGTAACCCGCTGCTGAGATAAGCGCGTTAAACGAGCGTCACGAGTTACAAGACGGCGGCAAAAGGTAGCTACACCAATTAAACACTAACTACACAGGGAGGGAAAGGTTTCTTTAGATTTAGCGTTTCTACCGCGTCCGAGGTTCCCATCCTACTTGAGTAAAAAATTCTCTTCTCAAGCGAAAGCTTCAAATTTCATATTTCTGTTTTATTACATTTGTGTGATTTTTTACACATGCTAAGTGTAAAAATTACGTCAGCTGTTATATTAAAAATTGAGCTTACGCGTCCCTTCGGGAAAAGAAACACCAATAGCAAGATGTCTGATCCCGTCGGAGGACTCGGGAGGGTTAAACAAGCAACGTAAGAGAGGAGGGGGCAAGCTCGCGAAGCGTTTGCATCACCCACAATGTTCTAATTCGAACGTTTTACGTGTCAACACACGCAGGTAATTTTGGAAATGACGAGCACACTCCCGCGCGCTCATGGTAAGAACTGCGGCATATGGCGTGTCCCCTCGCGGATATAAATAAATTGTTTGCCGTAATTGTGACGATCGCTCAAGATCCCGAACGATGGCGCGAAATTGACGTCCGATGCTTCTAATCCCGTAATCCGTTGCGTCACATCCCTCTCTCTCTCTCTCTCTCACCCTCCCTCGTTTTCTCTCTGTCTCTCCACGTCTCTATCGAGAGCACGAGCGCGCTTTCGGTATTACGGCATTCCTTCGATATTAAGCGGGGTCTACAATGAGAATTTAAGACGTAAGATTTCAGAAATTCACCAATCATAATTGATTTTTCTTCCACAGTATTTTTCCATTAAGAGGTTTCGTTTTAGATTATCAGAAAAGCAGTTTTTTTTTTTAAAGCGGTGATATTTCTGCTCCAATGCACGCCTCGACTTTATTTTATGGTCGCTTTTTTTTTCTTTCGAGGAAATCTCGCATCACGTTTTCGCATAATTGCGGCTCGATTACCGCAAAACCCGACTATAATTCGACCGGGCAATTTTTTAAGTCTTACGTCCTAAATTCTCATTGTAGACCTCGCTTTACAGAGGGCGCCGACGTGTATGCGCTCTCCCGGGGAAGAACCGATGCAAATCCGAGAGTGTATAATTCGGATTTGCGTGTGTCCTGAACTACCTGTGTAAGCGCTGGAGACTGCGCCGACGTTCTCGAGATAAAGCGGAAAGCTGATAACGAGGACGGTAATTGATGCCGCGACGGATACCAGGCTCGCTAGAAAGCGGAGCTTCTGCCAGTTCTCGCTTCGGCCGGTATCGAACAGCTTATCGCCGGCCTGATAAGCGACATATGGCGATTCCTCGGTGTCGGTGTACTCTTCGATCTCGACGTCGCTCCCCGTGCAACGTAGCTCCTCCTGCTCCTCGTCGTCCATCATCGTCGACACGCAGCTTGTTAGGCCCGCCAGCTTCGCGGCTATCTTCCGGTTACTCTGTCGGGATAAGAATGCAATAACTGTAACCGTTTCGTTTCCCCTCCGACAACAGCAACGTGCCGGCGACATGCGGTAAATGTATTAAAAAACCCCTTTCCAACAACCCTGAACTTGACATACATCACTGAGAAAAGTATGCTGAGTAACGTAATGTGAAAAAAGTTTCAGCCGTTGGACTTTGTTTATTGCAAAGTTTTCGACAGAAGAAGTTCTAAGAGAATCTATATTATCGCTTGATTCCCCACCGATTATAAGTATTGCAAAATATTTCAGCAAAAAGTCACATTTACAGGACACTTAAATCTGCCGAAGGAAATCTGCCGTGGTAGAGCGGAAGGGCTCCACCTTCCCCCCGCAGCCCCTCCTCGCTTTAATATTAACCTAACCTAATCCTAACCGAATCTACACATAATATTGTGAGATATTCACAATTTTAACAAATTTCAGTTTTAACAAATGTCAGCTCTCTCTCCCTCTCTCTCTCTTTCTCTCTTTGTCTTTACTCCACTAATATGACAGATTTTCTGACCGCACAATCGTCATTTTTAAAAATTGTTTTATTAATGTTGTTTGCCAAACGACCAATTGATTCTCGTAGGTGTGTCGTGCGACACTCGAAATTCTCAACAATCGAAACTCCCGCACCGTGACGATCCGCTCGAATCGAATTTCTTCGACATGACAATCGACAATCTTTTCACCCTCGCGTTACCTCGAACGAGCATTTTAAATTGTTCTACATTTTATACAAAACAAAAATTCTCACGCAGAAATGTGACGCTACGACGACGTTGGATGATATATTTTCGCTCCTCGCAGAAATAATAATAATAACAATAATAATAATATTGTCGACGAACAAAGAATCCCCCGACATTGAATCGGCTGAACTAATTGGCTCTCATTTACAGCTGCGTTTTCCCCGTTCGAGCGAGAAAAAAGTTTACTGCATGCGATGAGAGAGAGGACACCGACACAGCTGCACTTTGCACACCCCCAAGAAGAAGGAGAAGGGAGAGAGAGAGAGAGAGAGAGAGAGCAGGACGAAAGAAGGCGAGGATGCGGGAGGTAGGATGGCCGAAGAACGCGGATCATTCCCGGTGGAACGAAAAGCGCGACGTAAACAACGCGGCACCGCTGCCACCGCAAAAGAGAGAGAGAGGGAGAGAGAGAGAGAGAGCCGCCCTGTCAAGGTCGTTCGGCGCTAAACGGCCGTTGATTCGCCTCTCTCCTGCCGTCCATCACATCGAGCCTAACGACGCGCTAATGTCCACTCGAGGAACAATGGGAAATCAATTAAAGTGCGGTTAATTGATATCGAGAGAAAGAGAGAGAGAGAGAGAGAGAGAATCGTTGCCGCCGCCAAGGTGGTGGTTGATGAACTCACCCTTCGCGAGAACCTAACCTGCCACCGCCCAGCTTTCGAGGCGAGCAGACGCCTCAGTCCCAAGTGTCACGGCTCTCGTCGTCGTGTTCCTCCCGCAAATGCCGGCGGTCAGTCACACCGTCGACGATGACGACGACGACAATGACGACGGCACGAAGCGCGCGCGTTAATCAGGAATGCTTGTGTGGCGGCTATAAGGCGAGCCAGCAGAAACCGCGACTTCATCCCATCGTCGGTGACAAGGAGCGCCTCTTGGTTGCGGCCTCCGCCACCACCGCCGCCGCCAGGCTGACGCCAGGGCCGTATTCACGGACGGGCGACAATGGCGGAGGTGGAAGCCGGAGAAGACGGTGGAGAGGCGATGGAGCGAGCGACGAAGGACGATCTCGTCGAAGGGGAGATATTCAGCGTGTGACATTCAGCGAGGAAGATCGGCGTTCGCGATGAATCTTTCGCGCAGCGATCGGTCGTGTGGATACTCGTGGATTGATTTCTTTCGATTACTTCGATTACCTGTTTCCGAGGGATTCCGATATTTTAGGAATTTATGCGCTTATAGGAACGGCCCTTCGTTCTCCCTCTCTCTCTCTCTCTCTCTTGGCCCTGCGCGCATGAGCGAGGTAACGTACGACGCAGGTTGTGCGACGCTCTCCGCATCTGCGACGCTCCGAAACACATTCGGAAAATTCGGAATTATCGTCGCGCACGATATCGAGAGTAACGCAGTTCGGCCGGCGGAATACATCGTCCTTATTCTTTCAATTTCATTTCCGACTACCTGCTGCCCGCCGGCATTAATTACCATTTGCGATTTTTGCCTACGACGTGCGGTGTGCATGTAAAAAACGGGAGAGCGACGCTCGCTGATTATAATTGATCGGATTTCTCGCCGGAGGGGCTCACGGCGATCGTGAGTCTCGCCTGGAAAACCGCGCGACGAAAAACGCGACGGAGTGAAATTCTTCATTTCCCACCGACACATTGATGAAAATTAGGATTACTTAAATAAAGTTACAGGAAAGTATTTGATTTCAGTGAACAATAAATTTATTTAGGAGCCTCTTCATATCGTGCCATTAAGAAACCGGCATTCTACGGGTCGATTATTTTAATGGCAACCGGACAACACAGGTGTCGAAAATCGGGATATAAGACATCTTTTAGACATCTTTGTTTGTTCCTTTTCTTTCGTTCGTTTGTTCGTTTGTTCTTGTTCTTTTAAACATCTCTAATTGTTCATCTCTCTTGTTCTTTTAGACATCTCTAAACATTCTTTTAGACAAGTTGTCTTTAAGATATCGCAATATAAGACGTCTGTCAATCATTTTTAAGACATCTGAAAGACATCTTGTGTCCCGATTTTGCCCGATGCTGCCTTCCAGACAGCAGGATGTCTCAAGACCGACAATATTCGCCTGAACATTCGGCTAACATTGGAAACTCGGTTGAGATATACCCAATACTAAGCTGAGAACAATCTATCGAAAGGGAACGGATAGATAGACAGATTTAAACTTAGAGAGAGAACTGCTGTCAGATACGAGACGCCGAGGTATAACAAGCGGCGTTATGCGGGCGTTGCGTCACGGACGAATTAATACGAATGCAAAGCCGAACTCGGCTAACTAACCAGTCTCGAGTTAGCAGCTCGCCGGGCGAAAACTCGTTAGGAGATGTCCGTTAGGAAATAGCGACAGGATCGGTCGAGTAATCGCGGTAGCGCACTGTTCGGTCGTACCGATTCGGAAATGAAAGGCGAAAGTACGATCACGCAATAGACGATGTTCCGCATCGAATCACCACGTGTATCGCGTGCAGACACTCGACTTCCATCTTCTTCGGCCGCGACAGGCAGACGTTCGATCACGTTTCGGGAATGGCACGGTAGGTGGGTTAATTCCCATTCGCGCCAAACGGGGTCTTTATTTAACACCGGGGATAATGAAAATTCTTCAGCCCTGATTCTCTCGCGAACGTAAAAGAGATTCCCTTCCTCTTTTGGAATTTAAAATTTTCTCTCGACGAATTGCACTCAGAGAGAGAGAGAGAGAGAGCGAGAAATATGTAGTTACGACGATTACATAAAATGTGCCGTTCGAATAATCCGGACATGAAAACGTTTTATCGGAAAAATCGTTTATCAGAGTCGATATTGAAGATGCAAAGAAATGCTTTAATATTCAATCTTAAGGGATCCTTCCTGAGCCCTCTCATTCGATGCAGCCGTACGCAGAGTATAGCACAGAGTTTTCCATGAAGAGATTTCATTTTACGTTATTAGGAAAACAAAGTTCTTCTTTTGCAAAAGTGATGATATTTTTACTCCAATGCAAAGTACAAAGTGCGATTAAGTGCGGAGCACGATATATCTGATAAATGGCCGCCTCGGCTTTTTTCTACAAACGGTCGCTTTTTCGAGGAAATCTCGCGTCTCACGTTTTCGCATAATCGCGGCTCGATTTCGCGAATAACACTCTCGACATTGTCCTCGAGCTCCTGAATCGTTTGCATTGGCGCTTATCCTTCGCACAGCCCCGTAGAAAATAGTCCAGCGGTGCTAAATCGCGCGATCCAGGCGGCCAATCTCAAAGTCTCCGCGTCGAGAAATTATACGGGGAACTTTTTTCGCGCGATAACGCGATTGTTTCCCCGTTTTTTGTATGCGGCAGGTTGCGCCGTCCTGCTGGAAATAAACATCGTCCAGGTTCGAATCATCCGCTTCAGGCCGGGAATTCAGCGAACGGAATGAAGCGCGAGGGGGATCGCGGAATACGCGGAAGGAATGCCCGCGCTCGTTCAGAAGCCGAGAGTCCTGCCGTGGGTCCTCGTTTTCCCGCTTCATCATCGGAGATTTCAGTATATTCCTTTGGCTCGGCTCGGATTAAACTCGGAAAGCGGCTTGATATTGGCTTCTCTCGAGCGAGAGAAGAATCCCCCGTAACGAAGAATTAACCCCCCTCCCCCCTCGCGTCGTATTCGCGCGCAGCGCCTTTTTAATTAAGAAGCGCGACAACCGCCGTCGCGCACACCTGATTCCCTCCGTCCGCGATTCATAGGTCGGGCGATCTCGTACGGTGAACGCGGACGACAGCGCGCGATATCGATTTCGCCGCTAATTCTCCGACCCGGATCGGAACACACGGGGAATTATTGGTCCGTTGACTAATTGACGCCACCCGATATTCGCCACGTCGGACACGTCGGGCATTCGACCGGCCGGATCGATTCCGATACCGGCTGGCCGGGCGATCAACGACGGTAAACACGGCGTTTATTGTCGTGTGTGCGTGTGCGACTGTCGCGTTGCGTCCCCGTGCACGGAGGAAAATCAGTCCTCGGGAATAGATATTTTCATATAGTATAAACAAGAATATTAGAATCTTCTTCTTGGCAGATTTTTAGCCCCGAATTGGAGTTCGAATGATGCATCGATATGAATTCGATTCAAGTGAGGGTTAAAAAAGTCTTCTAAGAAGATTACGATATTCTCGCTTATATGTGAAAATATCTATTCTTGATTTAAGATTAATTAATTTTTGATATCATTTGACACTTTCGATACTTTCGGTTGGCATTTTCGATTTAAGATTAATTCTTTTCTCCGTGTCAAATAATCGCGCGGATATCGACATATTAATGTGGGTATCATTGACGCGTCACCCTCTCATTGGAAGTCTCTCGCACTTGACGCACAGGTGCGCTCGGAAAGAGGGAGAGAGGGAGAGAGAGAGAGAGAGATGCGAATATATTTATGGAGGGGAATCCCCTGGATTTACGGAATCATCCAGCGTAGTGCCGTTGCACGCAGTCTCTCGGGGGCGGGAAGTCCATTTCAAGTAACATTGTCGTCATTTCCGCCCTTTAAGCGGACATACCCTCTTAACTCTTTCACTGTCAATGACTCATATTTATGCATGGAAAAGTCATGTCACTATTTTGCTATATATTTTTTTATTGTATATATATATATTTAAGGATTTCTGAGGCCGCTGAGGTTCTGGTCTGACGTAATAATTTCAAAAACCAAAGCGCCGGACTGCGAGTCGAAAGAATATTTGCCTTTCAATAGCAATAATGGGCATCTTGAGGGTTTCCGAGGTCGCTGAAACTAAATCTGAAATTGGATTTTCAAGATATCGGATCCTATACGGAGGATCAAAATTCGCAGACATATTTAAATTCCAAGAAAAATTGGTATCTTATGGTTTCCGAGGTCGCGGAACGCCGGACAGATCATCGTATATCAACGATAAATACATCGATCCTGCGAGAGAGAGAGAGAGAGAGCTGTCCTTGAGGACAGGTGAGAGAGGGCGCCGGAGAATGAGCGAGCGCGCGCGCGTCACGTGACGGAATCGCGGCGGCGGCCGCGCGCGTCGTTCAACCTCAGTCGGCGCGTGGCATCCATGTGAGGTGTGTCGCTTCGCTCGCTCGCTCGTTCGCTCGCTCGCTCGCTCGTCCTTTCGCCCCGTCGCACCGCGCGCGCAGAGGACGCCGCCACTCGATCACGCGCTACTGGTCGACGAACTTTGACACGGAAGCTCCCCGCGAACATCGAATCCGCGCGCGCGAGAGAGAGAGAGAGAGACCAGTTTCGATCGGCCTCCTCCGAGCTACTCGTTTTCGCGCTACCTCGCGCGTACCGGGCCGATCGATACCGGCCGCTCGCGCTGAATAAATCGCGGCCGCGGCGGTCTTTACACCGCGAGGCTAGCGAACTTTCCTCCGCTCCGCTCCGCTCGTCGACGCTCCTTCTCGTCTCTTTCGCGATCAAAGGGCGCGCGCAACTGCTCCGAGAACGGTTGCACCGTCGAAAGTGGAGGAGGACGCGGCGAGCCGAGAGAGAAGTGGAGAAAGACGCTCCCGGTTACCCCCGCTTTCTTTCTCTCTCTCTCTCTCTCTCTCTCCTTTTCTGCTCGGGGGGCAACAAACGGCCGCACTTCCGTGAGGCCGCGCGCTCTAAGAGCAACGGGGGAGCAACGTTGTGAGCATCGAGAGAGAGAGAGAGAGAGGTGCCTCTGGTGTCAAGGACACTTGACTTCACCAGCACGGGCAGCACTTCGCGCAGCAACCGGCAGCGCCGACAATCGGGGTCGATCGAGCGCCGATTAAATTCGAAATTGGCGCCGCGGCGAGGCGAAGTGTCGAGCGGCTGCTGCTGTATCGCGCGAACGGAAGGACCAGAATAAAGGGGACGAAGAAGGGAGAGTAGGAGGAAAATTTCGGGGGGAAAACTGAAGATCCCGGGGAGATAAGGAAGAGGGCAGGCGAGTTTCCGCCGCGAGTCTCGAGATTTCCCGGGGGGAGGGTGGTTGCGATGCATCGAGCAAACTGGATACCAAACTAAGAAGAAGGTTCAGTCCCGGGAGGAAGCGGAAGGAGAATGCCGGGGCGATTCCGGCGATAATAAGCAACGACCCGGAGCGGTCGGGTCGTTCGGAAATATCGTTCAATTCCGGGAGGGGGGACGAGGAATTCGGAGGAATCCCGACGAGACGACAGCACCGCCGGGCGTCTCGATAAGAAGACGGCGGTTGTCGAATTTCCCGGACGAAAATCAGTCCTTCCGCGAAAACGCCCGGCGGAGGCGTATTTGCCCGCGCGTCTCGAGGAACTTATTTTACGATTGCGATCCTCGCGCTGTGCTCGCGCAGGAAGGACGTATCATCTTCTCTCTCCGGCTCGTTGCACTTCGACCCCCCCCCCNTTGCACTTCGACCCCCCCCCCCCCCGTGGGACTCTCTCGGATGAGGCGAAGTGAGCGCGAAGAGGCGAGAATGTAATTCGGTTAATAACGACGGATTTTCGCGGAGTTGCAGAGTCGAAGTGATCCTCCGCTCTCACCGGCGGACGAGCCCTGTTCTCGGGGTGTAACGTGTCTCTCGTCGCAAAGAAATCGCCGGCGATAAAACGGAGGCGTTTCTCGAATCCCGACTACGAGCGTATCATTTTCCGAGAGCGGAGGGGAACCACGCCGGAGGTCCTCCACCGTTCTCCGAACGGAGTCCTTCCGATGCGCCCCGCTGCGCCGCCGTTGCTCCACTCGAAGAAGCGGGACACTTGCCGCGCGGCCGGCGGCAGTGAGGCGAAGTAAAGACGGAAGTTCCGCGCTCTCGGGGGTGTTCGGTCCTTCAGGTGTGTCTGTGCCCGTGAGAGAGGTCCTGTGCGCGATGCTGTGCACCAACGAGGCTGCGCTGTGCCCGGCGAGGGCAGTTCTTCGTCACCGGTGAGACCGATCCGTCGTGCCGACAGTCGCAGGATGTTGCCGAGGAACGTCTGAAGGGAGAGAGGAGGAGGAGGAGGAGAAGGAGAGAGAGCAGAAGGAGAAAAAGTGGAAGCGATAATGACGAGAGACGTCGAGCTGTTCCACGAATCCAGGTGAGTGGGTGTTACTCGCGTTTTCGGGGATCTGGGATTACGAGTTCTGTCTGTCTCTGTGAAGATTATGTCTGCGAGAATGCAGGACCAGAAAGAGGAAGACAAGCGGAAGCCAGACTCGATATTTCAATGCTGCTTCAGTCCTAAATTCTATAGTCCTAAAATCTCGATTCCACCTTGACGCTCTTAAGGATAGTCTTCGTTTAATTAAATTACTTATACGTGATTAAAAACCTACTTTGATAATATCGACATTCATTAACATCCTTTTTGAAGCTTCGGTCCTACAGATTTCACTTTAACGCTACTTTGAGAAATCTTCTGACGCTGAAACAGCGAAAATCGGAAATCCAAGACATCGGCGAAAATTAAAGTAGAAATAAGTTATATTATTAGAATATAAATTAAACTCGTTTTACTACTTTAATTCCTGCTGTACGGCGGAATCAAAAGATCGAAACACGGGGCCCAAGTTGCGGCTCGGAAAGAAAGCTCGCGCCGCAAAGTCCAGAAAGTCGTCGTCGTCGTCGCCGTGCGGTCATAATTCTCAATTATTTTTATTCGGCGCGGCATCGGCGCGATCCCCTCATGGGAGTCGGCGAGCGTTTGTCACTTGATCGAGAAGACGGAGGAGAACGAGGGGGCTGCGCTGAATTCCATTAAAGTTTCCATTACTTTGGAATTCACTGGATGAGAATGAAAACTGTGGCCCTCACTCGGGGAATAACGGGCGGCGGCGGTACCGCCCGCCTGTGCGCCCGCATTACGAAGTATTTAATGACTCAATATTCGTTCGCTCTCTCTCGCAGTCGCGAGGATATTGGATCGAAAGTGTCAGCGGGAAAATGTAGCGGGAAGTTTTCCGTTCGATTGTAATCAAGTGCCCGTTGACGACGAGCCTGTTGTCGTCCATCTGGCCCCGACCAGCGCGACAGCGCAGATAGTTCCTACCCTCGGAAGAATTTCAATATCGCGATTCCGTCATTCGGGGACACCTCTTGTGTGTCCCTTAAGCCCGTATTAACACTTTACCTGGAAGGTCTATTGGTGGACTTTAGCCCGAGTAGAAATGTACGTCGACCTCCTCATAATCGCGTAATCTTCCTAGAATATTGTACGGATATTATTCGATATTAAAATAATATTCTTGTAATATTTTTAAAATGTTACGGGATATTTTTTCAATATTATAGGGACGTTTCGTCGATGTGACATCTGTTTCTTCCTTTTCTTCGTTTTCTTTAATATTTTGATATCTTATTTTCTTTAACACGCGAACTTAACGAATCGTCAGAATTAACATAACGATTTGACAGTCGCAGTTATATTAGCAATCGCGATTCAGTTGTAAAATTCCGAGAGATCCGATTACGAATTCGAATCTGAGCTTTTCTCGCCCGAGACAAACTTCGAGCAACGATCATTGATGCAGGTTTCACATCGTCGTAGAGAGGGAACGCAATATTTGGTTGGCAAGACGCATCTTAGTTTTCGCGTCGGCGGCTGATGTCGACCGAGGAAATTAACGAAGAGCACGGTGACGCGCGCGACAGTAAACGTGTCAAGATCGAAGAACGGAGTGAGGACGTGCGAGTTTTACCGTCAATTAGTGCCCGCTAATCGCATCCGCGAAGATACATGAAAGTCGTGAAGGCACCGCCGGTGACAAACGGTTTCAGCGAGGCAATATAGTTCCCACGAGAGATAGTTTCACGAAGATGCGATTTATACGAAGCGCGATAACTAGCAGCCTTGCACTTTTGCAGAACAAAGTATCCCCCACGAGATATTGTAAGTTCGAGCAAACGTTTAATGTAACTCCTTGCAGCTGGCGTGAGTGTTGTGTACGCTTTCAGTTGTTCCACGTACTCCGGGGCTTGTCAAGTCGTCTTTCGGAAAAATTTCATTTCCCAGTGGGAGAGAAAAAGTGCAGTTTCGCATATAGAGGGTTTTCCATTAAGAAGCTTCATTGTTAATTTCGCGTCATTTTTAACCTATCGAACTGTCATTCCTCAAAAGCTTGACAGCTGAAAAGTATTACGGTTAACGAAAGTGGAGCGATATAACTCTTCAGCAACGTGTAGAAATCGCGAAAACTTTCGAATAATTTTTCGAATAATTTCAAATGAAACCTCTTAGTGGAGAACCCTGTGAATATTCGGCTATGCACGGGAAATCGACGAGATATCAGGCAATGTTGGTGATCGAAAGTTTCGGCGAGCTCGAGAACCGGAAATTCGACCGGTGGAAATTCGTGGCCTGCGTGCTTGCTTGCTCCGTTAACTTCCGTATTGTCGTATTGCCACTTGATCCCGTCGCGAGAAACATCCCTTCTTCGCGGCGGAATATCGAGTTAAGACTTCGTGTAACTGAAATCCCTCGGACCAATTGCATTCGACGATATCGTGGTGGACACAGCGTAGTTACGCAACACGGACGGGACGAGACGTGCTTCACCAAATGCGCCGAATTGCGTTGTGAATTCGTCATAGAAAGAGAGGAAGAAAGTGGAAAGTGGAATGAAGGAAAAAATCAACGAGATTTTGCCCGAACGAGCAAAATTCTCTCGAAGACGACGTTCAGTCACCTCCGGCGGAACTTTTATCCGTAAACCGTCGGACAAAAAATTATACAAAAATTACTAAAAAATTACAGTGCAAAAAATGATAAAAAATTATGTAAAAATATTCGGTCGCGCGAATAAAGAGAGATTCGCTCCTCCGCGCGCTATTTATCATTATTATTATTATTTACAAACGCGCTTTATATCGCATGCTTTTCTGCCTTTATCTCTTATACGGCTGCAAGCGGGACGCATAATTGACCGATATTAATTAGCAACGGCGACCCGCCGGAGGATTATCCCGGCGTTCTAATGCATCTAGTTCGCTCTTTTTCTCTCTCTCTCTCTCCTCTCCATTGTTTCCGCCGTTCGTTATCTCTTCTAGTCCGCGATGTTACTACATTAGCGCTAACCAAATTTCGCGAGTGCGAGCGAGCGCGCACCGTTCGAAGTGGGAGGATAATTCGCGCCTCTTGCAATTGCAGTGTGCTCGCGCACCCTCGCGCAGTGTGTGATTTAATGCCCCGTTTCATCACACTCGTTGTGCCTTCTTAGCTTTCCTTAACTCGATATTTATTCTCGCAACATTTCACCGCTGAATTCGTTTAATTTTCACACAGCACGTAAACACACACACATACGTGCGTGTACACGCATATTCACGCGTACACGGGATCCCTGACGTGGCGTTAACGTCGTTCCGCCACGTATTCGCATGCACCTCGATCGTGTAATCACGATAAGGGACCTCGATAAGGGACGCGAAAATGCAGCTTTAATCACTGCCTACGATTAACCGATTAAAGCTCACGGCTAGGCCGGTGTTGTGGTTAGCAAGAAGCCAACAATTGCAAATAGAAGCATGAGGAGCTATATCGGACGTAAAAAATTGTGCACGAGGAACACGCATCGCTTTTCCTCGTCTTCATGCGAAAGAAAATAAATAAATAAATAAATAAACATCGCGAATTCATTGAACGTCGTTCCAAGTTAAACCAGCAGGGTCAGCGAAGAACAATAATTGGAAGTGGAAGCATAGGAAAGCATTTCTGACACGTGAAAAAGCACATTGGAAAAATCAATTTTGCGACTAACTTTTGCATAAGCGGGAAACGCCACGCGGAAAAGTGACGCGTGTTTTTCGTGTAACCTTTTCCCGTAGAATCGATTGATCTTTTGACCAGTTTTGTTCTACAGTCGACATTTGATAATTTTGTTTGTAACGATTTATCGCAAAATTGATTTTTGCATTGATTGTGCTAACCTTACCGGCCATGGGCTTGAATGGATTAAATCGATGCCGCTTATTGTTGTTACGGGCGTGCGATGTAAGATAATAATAACGGGGCCGGGTCGGAGGTTCCCGGATAAACTTTAGATTCGAGATACCGGCGCTCGTATTGTTATTGTTGTAAGCCATTATTATATGCTGATATCACGCGCGATATCAGAGCAACGAAGTTGACTATATTCACTCGATATCTTTTCTCTTAAGCTTTTTTCTTTCTCTGCACGGAGAAAAAGGTTTCCGTAGATTCAGCATTTCTATTTATTTGATCAAAATTTAACTCACAGAAACAACATGTGCGAAATACCATTTGACCGAGTAAAAATTTTATCGTCCCACTGACGAAAATCCTATTATTTAACAGAGAGAACGCTATTATCTGAGAAATAATGTCTTTCAACTAAATAAAATATTATCCGGCTGCAATAAATATGTAAGATGAGCAAATAATTTCTTTATAGGAAAATTATTCTTTCGTTTCGAGCAAATTTGTTTTATTTAAGATAATGATACGTATTCGTTGAAAAGTTCGACGATCGTACTTATCAATCGAAACGTTTCTTCGGGAAGTGCCGATGATAAAAATTTGCTTGGACACGATCAAATTGATCAAATTCGAAGAAACCTTTTTCTCAGTGCGCACGTGCGTGCGTACAACAATTCTATCAAGTACGAAACAACCGGTTTTCCCGAAGATCTTCTCCGAATAATATAAATCCTAATTATAAAGTGTCGTATATAAGATGGATCGCGTATATATATATATATATATATATATATATATACACGTACATGCTTCGAGAATGCTGAAATTAATCACCAGCTCACGAGCAGCACTTAGTTTCTTGCAATAACAACTTGATATGATAGTTGACGACCTAGTTAAGTTTTAATTGGAGAAAATGTGGTGGTAATGTCAATCGCGGGTAATGAAGAAACAACGGCAATATAACGGTGGAAAATACTTATCGCAAAATACAAGTGAAGGATCGGAGATAAAATCTCTCTCTCTCTCTCTCTCTCTCTCTTTCTCTTCCGATAACGACGCCTCCACGAACTCGTCAGTAGTACAATCCGATTTTGATCGGACGAGGCTGCTGCACGGCCGTGAAGATACCTGCACTCGCATGACGTGGCGCGCGTTATTAG